TTCCCCTGCCTCTGATTGTGATTGTGCTCAACTGGGTGCTTCGGGGCGGAGACAGGTAGTGCAGAAGGAGGCAGGATTCAGACTGCCATGCCATCATGAAGTGTGGTGCTGAAAGGACAGCTCCCCTGGAACAGTAGTTGAGCCTCCTCCGTTGCAGTACCACAGTGAAATACAAAGGAAGGGGGAGAAAAAAATACACAAAACAAACACAGAAGGCAATTTGTAGATTTTTTTCTCCCTTCATGCTTTAGCGCCGCCTATGGATCACCTGCCACTAATTGACATGCTGTTGGTGAGTGACATGCTGATGGTGATGTAATGCAACCACAGCTGCCCCGGGGCACACTGACAGAAGAGAGGCTGAAACACAATCAGCATCATTACTCCCTTTAACCAGCAGACGTACGACAGACTCAGCGGGGAATGACCCTGCAGCCCTCCATTTACGGGGTGGCCACCTAACTCTTGTGCCACCATTGCCCCATTAGTCTACATGCTTCTAAAACACTCATGATATAAATGGATTTAATGTGAACAATGTCACCCAACCCTGGGTTGTTTTCATGTGCTAACAGGTAAGCATTTTAATGAGTCAACAGCCTTTTAGCTTGTATTAATGTTTTTGTTTTGTTGAACAAAAGGAGTTCTGTCACATCTGAACCAGATGGAGCAGCCAGCCCTCCTTATACCGGTTCCGTGCCTTCTTTCTGTTTAATTAAGTTATTAAAAACAACAAACAGAAAGCAAAGAAACTATGAATGGTAGAAGACCAAAAAAGAGTTGTTTTCTATCTGACACAACAAAAATGTTTGCTGCAAGTTTGAGCCAAACGGCTCTCCGTAGCCACTATGTTTCATTCTGAGATGCTGAACAGAACACAATCTATCGCGCTCAAAATTAACGGATGAATAACAAGATTGCTTCAGTGATATAAAACAAATCAGATGTTTCACGTTGATGATAAAAAGGAACATGATGGAGTCTGTGTTTACATTAAAATGTCAGTCTAACCAGCAGGGCACCACAGGGAGTTGAACCCCGTCTCACTACTGAGAGTACCATCACCAGTGCCTTTAGCTTTTTATTGTGACATTAAACCATAAAGCTGAACCTGCATCAAGCAGATCTGTGATCAGGATTGGTCATTTAAAAAAAAATTCTCGGAGAAAATTGCCACTCGGCCTGAGTGTTGTATCAAACCAATCATCCCTAAACAAGTTTTGTTTATTATTTGGTTTCAGAAACTCAAAACTTGGAAACTTTAGAATTAGATGGGAACCAGATGAGTCCTGCAGAGAGTTTTCTCACGGAAATCATAAATTTTGAGACAGAAATAAAAACCAAGAAACTATAATAATTTCTGAAGTCTTAACTTTTTCAGAACATGAGACCAGCCAAAACCTGACACCAGAAACCTACTCTGATTCTGAAATGATCAAGGAAGTTTCTTCACCACTTTCAGAGCTGTCTTCAGAAACCACGGCAAACTGTGGACATGAGGAACAGGAAGAAACTAAAGTTCTTCCTAAAAAGTCTCGGGGAAAGAAAAAACAAGACTAAAAGAACGTTCTTCTAGCTCAAACTCCCTCAGATTGGGAAACGCTCCAGAATCTGAGAATCTTCTGAAACAGAAAACAGGTGTGATGTTCTTCTAACAGATTTGGCCTTTGGTTGAATCTGCTATCATCACAAAGCCCAGGGAGGCAAAACAAGTCACAAAAACAATGTCTCATAGAAGAAAAAGGAACAGAAAGACCAGCCATAACTCTGTCCCAGAAGTGGTTGAAGAAATTACTTCTAAAATAACTGAGGTTGCTTCTGCAGAAGATTCATCAGATTCTGGGATGATCGAAAACCTACCAGTTTCAGATCAACCCGTAGCTACAGAACCACAAACGTCAGATTCTGAATCAGGCCCAAGTCGGAGAGTTAAGGAACAACAGGACTTTTCTTCACCACTTTCAGAGCTGTCTTCAGGAACCATGGCAAACCGTGAAGATCAGGAACAGGAAGAAACTAAAGCTCCTGCTAAAAAGTTTCAGGGAAAGAAGAAAAAATACAAAAAGAAGAATGTCCATCTAGTTCAAACTCCCTCCGATTGGGAAATGCTCCATATTATGTCGTTTTCTGATCTCTTGAGTGAGTTTGAAACAGAAAACAGGTTTGATGTTCTTCTAACAAACTTGGCCTTTGACATCATGGATTCCTAACAATCAAGCCTAAACTCTTACAAAAGTAGTTCCAGGAGAAAAGGAACAAAAGCAAAGCAGAGCAAAACAGCTCACAGCTTGACTGTCAACTACATCCTGCCCTAACACACATCACCACCGTAAAAACGGCAACACAAGGATTGTGTCACAGAAAACACTCGTCTAAATCCTTTCTGTGTCTCCTTGCACTACGTGGGGTTTTTCTGTGGGTGCTCCAGCCCCCCCCCCCCATCAGGTTAGTTAACGAATCTAAACACTAACTAGGTATCAACATGTTAGCAAGTGTGAAGTCGGGTGTGGTGTGAAGCATGATGAAGAGAGAGATGTCTGCACAGCGTGAGTAGGTGAATCTGTGAAGTACCTCCTTCCACCATGAGGAACCAAAAAAATTAAATTAAATAAAAAAGTAAAAAAAAAACAGCAGCACAAGTTTTTTTTAAAGGAAACAAATCAGCTGGTTAAATAATTTATGTGTCTCCTTGTGCTTCATGGTTTTTTTCCTCTGGGTACTCCAGTTCGCCCCAAACCCAAATCCTAAAATCCTGACGCGTTACCCTGATGGAGCTGCTCAGCTCTTCTGCAAGAAATGCAATTTGTCTAGTATATGTCATTCGTTTGTCTGCATTTATGTTAATAAAAAACACAAAAAGCATTATACAAAATACAAAACATTAAAAATAAAATAAAGTCAAAACTCATTGATGAATCACCATCTTAATGCAGGGAAGGGGTTCGTGTACCCCTGTGATCCTGAGGTCTGGGCTTTTCTGGGACTCTGCCACCATCTCTGGTGGAGTCTCCCATAACAACCTGGTCTCAGGTGAGGGGTCAGACTAAGAGTGAATCTAAAACTTTTATGAAAGAAGATTATGGTAAGCAGGTTGTCTTACCAAAATAACAATTAGTAAAAAAACAAAAACATAACAGTATATTTTTTAATGACCAATCCTGATCACAGATCTGCTTGATGCAGGTTCAGCTTTATGGTTTAATGTCACAATAAAAAGCTAAAGGCACTGGTGATGGTACTCTCAGTAAGGAGACGGGGTTCAACTCCCTGTGGTGCCCTGCTGATTGGACTGACATTTTAATGTAAACACAGACTCCATCATGTTCCTTTTTCTCATCAACGTGAAACATCTGATTAGTTTTACATCACTGAAGCAATCTTGTTATTCATCCGTTAATTTTGAGCCCGATAGATTGTGTTCTGTTCAGCATCTCAGAATAAAACATAGTGGCTATGGAGAGCTGTTTGGCTCAAACTTGCAGCAAACATTTTTAGTGTTTTAGATAGAAAACCACTCTATTTTGGTCTTCTACCATTCATAGTTTCTTGGCTTTCTGTTAGTTGTTTTTAATAACTTTTTAAACAGTTATGTAAATTAGTGGCAGCTCATCCATAGGGGGTGCTAAGGCATGAAGGGAGAAAAAATCTACAAATTGCCTTCTGTGTTTGTTTTGTGTATTTTTTTCTCCCCCTTCCTTTGTATTTCACTGTGGTACTGCAACGGAGGAGGCTCAACTACTGTTCCAGGGGAGCTGTCCTTTCAGCACCACGCTTCAAGATGGCATGGCAGTCTGAATCCTGCCTCCTTCTGCACTACCTGTCTCCGCCCCGAAGCACCCAGCTGAACACAATCACAATCAGAGGCAGGGGGAAGAGGGTTACAGCAGTATAAAGGATACTTTGGAGCAGATCCTCGGAGAGCACAAGACCTGATCTGCCTTTTCTCCAGCCTCTTGTTTCCTCTGCAGACTTGATAATTCCTTGACTGAGTGTTTAACATTGCCGGTGTAGTTGTAGTAGGGAGAGCCCCCATTATTGTCTCAGGGTTGTCCCTGGTTGACATTCTCCACTGTTGCTGCATGCTTGCTTAGAGTGAGGATTGCTGTGAAGACACTGACAGTGACTCAGGAATAGGGTCCTTCACGGTCACTGCTCTGTCAGCAGGCCTCTTATTGTTCTTCTCCAGAGAATTCCAAAAGACCAGATATAAAGTCGAGGTGATCGCTCCTTTCAGACTGTTGCACCCCGACTTTGGACTGATCTTCCTTTAACCTTATGTAGCATTGACACTCTGGACACTTAAAAACAGCTAAAAACCCTTTCATGTAAAGCTGCTTCTACCTAAATCCTTTATTTTCTTATTTTTAACTCAAATGTGTAATATTTTATCTGTTCATGAAATGCTATAATTTTATGACTGTATTATTTCTGATGTTTATCTTTTTCTGTTTTGATATTATGATTTTATGACTTTAAGTTTCATTTTGTTTGATTTAGGTATGTGAAGCACTTTGTGATTCTATGTCTGTGATAAGTGCTATATAAATAAAATTTATTCACTTAATTACTTACTAATTTGTTCTCTGTATTATTATTCTGTCGCGGATGTTAATGTGGCTCGAATGGCAGCATGCACCCCCACAAGTTACACATCAAAACGAGTGCCACGGCCGTGGGAGTTGTACTGTTACTTTTCTATTTTCATGGCAAAATTATTAGCAAAAAACAGAGAAAACTTTGTCACTTTGAGTGTGTTCCACTCTAAATTTGCATGAAATTTGCATAATAATCAGTTAAAGGTTTATGATTATTTATT